TAGCATTTTTATTACCAAACCACCACATAGAAAATATCTTCCAACTGTGGTTAATTTACATTTAGAAAAAAAGAAAATTCACTTTGAGTTCATGATCTGTCAAGAATTGTGAGGTTTCTGAGATTCCCCCTCCCAACCCCCTCTTCTTGTAAGCTAACAAGTTAGCTTACCATAGTTTCAAAAGACATGAGACTCCTGGCACAGAGATGAAGGACTTTATTATTCACAGCAAACAGGACAGCACAAACTTCGTATTTCTTCTTGCTTCCCAAATCCCACTGGGCGACATGGAGGTTGCGTTGGCCGATGCTGCACATGCAGTGGATGTGCCACAGATGAGAGAGTCAAGTACAGAAGAACCTAATCTTCTAAAAGCCTTCAAGTGAACATGTTCAACCTTGACTCACAGGGAGACATGATCTGTATTATCCTGGGCATCACACCCATCTACGGGTGACTGAGGAGCCATGCTATTTCAATTTTTCAACATTGCGTGCTATCCAGACATTCTTGAAGATATTCTAGGACAAATGTATCAGTGTTTCCACTTCCAAAATATGTAGAAATGCAAGAGACACCTGGCAAATTGTCTCCCAGTGTAATCTCTCTTAGACTTTTTCTGGGCCAACCAATACATTTCAGGATGATATAATGTTTAATTTTAGACGAAAATACTGGATATTATGTTATCACTGAGAAGTATAATTTTGAATTTTCAACTGATATATCTTGTAAAAATATCATACATTTCATTTCCATACATATTGTAGGAATGATTCTTTAGAAAGTTGTTCCAAATTATAGAGTAAAAGTACCCCTTTTTATTAGCAGCTATAGAAAATTAAGAAATTATTTAAATTGATAGTTTTTCTTTGAATATATTTTGGGGATTTAAAATATTTTTATTGAATTCAGAGAGGAAGGGAGAGGGAGATAGAAACATCAATGATAACAGCTTGCAACCTGGGCATGTGTCCTGACTGTAATTGAACTGTGACCTCCTGGTTCATAGGTCAACACATAATCACTGATCTTCACCAGCTGGGCTTGGGATATTTTAACAAGTCAGCTTTCTGTATTTCCGATTACTTTTCAATGTTGACATTTTAAATCTTTCTTTTGCAGGGATATCATTAAAATTAATATATTGAAAGTTATTGTTTTTATTGAGGTTTGTACATTTAGCACAATTGAAACAGGATGACTTATGAAGGGAACATATAAATAGAGAGGAGATGAGGACTAGGATTGACCACTTCAGCCAGAAAAGATGAATGAGCAGTGGGGGACGGGAGAAATCAGGAGAGTGTGATGGGCTGGAAGACAAGTGAAAAAAGTGTTCCAAGGTAGAGCTTATAGTTATCCTTGTAAATGCTGCCAATGGATCCAGCAATATAAAGTATGAGAATTGATTATTGGGTTCAGCACTGATGGGGTAATTGCTGACGTTAAGTGGCTCTTCAAAAAAGAATAGGAAAAAAAGTGAATATAAAAATGTAGAGAGTGGATATAGAAAATGCTTTCAAGGAGTTTTGTCAAAATGGAGAGCCTGGAATCAGGTGTTTCCTCAAGATTGAAGTAGATTCAAGGAGGTTTTTGTTTGCTGGCTTTTGTTCTTAAGATGGGAAAAATTAAATCATGTTTTTCTTCTGCTGGGAGCAATCCAGTAGGGCAAGTGCCGGTGGCGTAGTGAGAGGGAAAGGACTTACAGAAGCGATGATCTAGAATTGCACAGAAGGCACAGGATGGACAGTTCAAGCCTCATAATAGGAGGAAAGGCACATAGGGATAAACACAGATACACGTGGGCGGCAGCCCTGGTAGAAAAGCTCTTCTAACTGATTCTATTTTCTACGTGAAGTGGAATCACAGGGAGGTGTTAGAGGTTTATATTTACTGAGAGAGTGGATGGATTCTGGAATAGCAGCATGATTGCCTAGCAGCGTCCAGAAGTCATTCGGGGTGGTAGGCATGAATGTGAAACGAGAGCAGTCAGCATACGTTGTTTTTTCTGTTATCGTGATCAGCTCTTCAGGGGCAGGCACACAGAGGCACGGAACCTAATTGAACTAGGGTTTGGGTTTCACCAATTGTATGGCAAGAAGGACCACAGAGCAATGGAGGTGCGGAGGTAGATAAGGGGATGATTTTAATATAAGGTGAGTAAAGACATGAAGATGGTGAGCATCCAGGTTACCCCATTGCCCCTGAAGACAACATGTAGACAATTGCCAGTGGCGTTTATACGAGTAGAACTCTCCTTGTGTGACGTTTTAATGCTGTATATCAGCATGGCTTAGAGACAGGTTTGGGCGTGGGGGTGCTTTGTGAAGGAAACCAAGGGAAACACTGGACCACATCACCTGTCAACCAATATCTTCTTAAACCTGAATTGAAGAATTGGTAAGACAGAGATATTAATGGCTAATATTTCCAAAGAGCAGACTGTTCATGTTATCAAAGTGTATCAGTAGAAATATTTGTCAAATCAGTAAATTTACCAATGATAATATTTTGCTTAGATAACTTGGGCCAACATATATATTTTCTGCAAGGGTTAATCAAAAGATTTTAATGACAGTAAGAATTCCACATTGAAACACAGCACTGAGATTTCTACCTCCGTTATTTTCCTTGTGCATCTCAGACATTGTACTTAATACTAATTTTCATTAAAATGACAAATGAAACAATCAATAATTATTAGATTTTAAAAATACTGTCAAATGTTTTCAAATGGTGGGATAAAAGATTAACAGAGGTTCTGCTTTGTTTTGTTACTTAAATTTGGTTTGCTTATATATACACGTGTTGAATAACTACTGGTATTTTATGTAACAACAAAAGTGAATAAACATATTTAAAAATTTCTTTGAAACACCCATATCATATATGTTTAGTACAAAAACGACATAAAACAGTTTTTTTTCATTTTCCAAATTAATTATTATAAAGATAATGTTCGTCTTGTTTAATAATGACTGTAAGGTGTGAGAGCAACTTTTCCTTAAAAGCACCATGCCATCTCTGAGAATAAGCTGATTTTTTTCTGAGGACATATTAAACCTCTCCACCTACAGGAAATCGGCTCGTGTGCCTCAGACATCAATCCCCTACATATAGGCTGTTGGGGTTCATGAAATCTGTAATGTGACCTTTAGGAGCATCATTTCCAGCAGATTAGGATTCATTCCTGGCTCTTTCACCTGTGTATGGGCTGAATAAATGTACACAAGTTACTTCATTTTAAGCCTCAGTTTTGTCATCTCTGTTCCCCTCAAACCCTTGAATAGAGTATTATATACAAGCGAACAGGACTTAATGTGGTTCAACAAATAATCTCTAGGGCTGCCACACAGATGGATTCTGAACAAGTATTGTTGAATGAATAAGTATACCAACTATATACTTAGGAGAGTACAAGAATAGCAACTGTATAAGAGGGATGTTTTGAGGCTGAAGTGACCTAATACATGATGAGCACAGAAGTCCTAGGTTAAAATAACTCTTCTTATTGAGCAGAGTTCCAGAGAAGCCTGGATAAGTTTGCCTTCTATGTCCAACCTCTATTTCCCCTTCAGATTGTGAATGGGACTTAACTAGTGCCCCTATGGCATGTTTTAGCACTGGAAATTGTGTAAGAGAAAAAATATTTATTTTATTACTACTCATACCTCCTAAATCTTTCATAAAATTTGGAAGAAGGGGTAACAAGCCAAGTGAATTAAAATATTTTAGCATATAATCTAAAACTCATGCCATCAATAAAAATGTTTTTAGGGCGTAAGAATGCATACCAGAAAACCAGAGGTAGTATATGTGATAGTTCATTAATTTTAATATACATACTTTAAATTTTTACATTTCCTAACTCTGGGTGCATTTTATACTTGATGGCATCTTCTACTTGATTGGGTTCTCATTTTTCCTTCCTTCCTTCCTTCCTTCCTTCCTTCCTTCCTTCCTTCCTTCCTTCCTTCCTCCCTTCCTTCCTTCCTTTTCTTTGCAGTTCACCCTTCCTTTCTTCCTTCCTTCCTTCCTTTTCTTTGCAGTTCTCCATATAATAGGATTTCAGTATAATTGATAAAATATTATATAGTCACATGTTAAAGCAGTATTGCTCTGTGTTTATTTCTTATCACCACCCAACCCTGGCAAGAAGCCTCTTAGCCATTTTTTTTCTAATTTCCTACCCCATTAAATTTTAGTACGGGTAAGAAATCAACCAAAGGACTTGTATGCATGCATATAAGCATAACCAATGGACATAAGACACTGGGGGATAGGGGAGGCTAGGGGACTGTCGTGGGTGGGGGGAAAAAATGGACACATATGTAATACCCTTTGTAATAAAAAAAATTAAAAAAAATGTTAGTACCATAGATATACGCCATATCTGTTAATGTACTGCACATATATCCCTTTGTAATAAAAAAAAATTAAAAAAAAATTTAGTGCCATAGATATACTCTATATCTGTTAATGTACTGCACATATATGTGTGTTTTATGAATAAAGAGTAAGATATTTTTGCCCTGCAATAAACCATTTTCATCCGATTTACACCCATTGAGAATACAGGTATTAAAATTAAAGTGATACTCCATATTATGCTTAGCTTTAAAAATCTCATTTACTAGAATATTGGGAAACATTAATTAACTATTAGGTTTAGAACTTTTGGCTTTAATTATATAACAGAATGTCTTGGAATTTTATTATTATCATGAGTGTCCAAATGCTGTCAACATGCGTGCAAAATCTGAACATTTGTTATTTACCCCTATAGTCAGAAAGTTATCCATAATGTTTTTTAACAAATAAAAGATCTTCAAGTTGACCCAGTGATATCATTCAACATGATTCTCATTTCATAAAATAAGACTAATTAACGATTTCAGAATATAAATTTAAATGTTCACTACTTCATTTTTACATGTTCATGATTTTAAAGACATATCTTGAACACGACATCAATACATTTATGTTTAAAGTCCATCTAATTTCCATGGAATACTAAGAGATATCTGCTTTACACTCAACATATAGCCCTCAGTGTGGGGATGAAGAAGTGTGATTCTTGAAGCCACTGTATAGCATTCTTCTACTGAAGTCTAAGCAGTTGGGAGTCCCATCTATGGAACAATGGTGGAATACAGAGCTCGGCCCATTTGTGACCAGGGTTTGCACCAGAGGGAAGAAATGACCAACAAATCAGGATTTTTCTCTTGTAAAGGTAATTGTTGTATTCAACAGCTTTACTGGATGAAGAAAGGAGTGATTTATTTACTTGGGGAATATCTTTAAATAACAAAATTGTTTAGTGTACTCTTAAATGTTCACTTATCTTTTCTCTGGGCTTGGCAGTTTAACATTTATTTTTTAAAAATTAGTACTGCAAAAAACTTTTAAAATTAGTGATGCATAAAACTTTAACTCTTGTATGTATTGCAATATTTTACATTTGCCAATTCTGATGTGTTCTATTGGTCTAGTTGTCTTGGGTTGTGTTAGATGGTTATTTTTGAGACTCGAGTATATCAGAATACCATTGTTGGGGAGATAGGAACTATTCTAGCAAACCAAGCAACGCCTCAGCAAAAATGAACACAAGGAGAACGCAAGAGAGACTCGGCAGCAGCACACAGACAATCACATCAAGGCTTTATAGATCGAGTTAGTTTTACACAAGCTTTTGTAAATAAACTGAAAGTGAACTCAAAACCAGAAATCATCTCCTCCGCTGCTCCTGGTGCTTGCTCTTTCTCTGCCTTTTAGTCGAAGCATCTCCATGATGCTCCGGGCATAGACATCTCTCAAGTTCACGCTGATATATGAGTCAGTGGCTATATTCTTGGTAAGTTTCTTCAGAGCCTCACGCTGTCTAGCAGCTGCTTCCTTGAGCTTTAAGGTAAAATAGCAAGCAGAGAAGCGGTCGTTAATAATAGCAATAGGCAAAGCCAAGACGAGGATTCCCGATAATATACACATGAAGGCCACGATTTTGCCTGTGGTGGTGTCTGGCCGAATGTCCCCATAGCCCACCGTAGTCATGGACGTTGTGGCCCACCACCACGCACAAGGGACACTTGTGAAGGTTGTGTCAGGAATGCTTTGCTCAGCAAAATATTCCACAGTGGAGAAGATAGAAATTCCCACGGACAGAAATAGGAGCAGTAGGCCGACTTCTTCATAACACTGGGTGATTGTCATTCCAAGTGAGCGCAATCCTGTAACAGAACATCTGCTGTCAGTCACTGGCACCCCTCCTCTCCTCCTCCCTCCTCCCACCCTTCTCTCCCTTCCCTGCTCTCTACCCACAAACATGCATTTCATATCTACTATGTCTCCAGCACTGGGCAATGTTCTGGGGTATATGGATGACAAATCATAATCCTTGTCTTCAGGAAGCTCATAGTCTAGTTGATGGGGCTGGATTGAGAAGGATAAAAAGAAATATAATTAGACCCATTCACTCACTTGTGTACTTGTGAAACACCTACTATTTATACAGAAAAGGTGAGGAATGGAATGAAAAAGCATGGAGGGGTATATGATTGGGATGTACACGCGAGTCTGTACAATGGGCGGTCTCTGCAGTGTTGGGTGTGGGGTGCTCACTAGGTCAGGCTAGTGCCTGACTTTGACACACTTTTCTAATGCCAATTGTATGCTGTCTACTTTTCTCACAATAAAGTTTAACACAATGAGCGTATCATTATCTGAAAACCAGAGGCAGTGAAGGACATCACCAGGAGAATGAAGTGAAGCAAATTAGGCATCAGTGACAAAACTGAGGCCAGAACTTCAAATGTACATTCAGAGGATAATCTTAGAGGTCTTCCAGGAGGGGTTCCTGAACTCCCATGACATCCATTGAGATTCTAGTCCTTAACGGAAAGCTCTAGGAAAATATTTCCTTTGAGTACATAGAATTTCTGCATTCTTGTAAGGAAGTAGACCTGAATATAGAATATTCCTCCACTGCAAAAAGGTATGGAGGACTGGAGCCATTAGGAAATTCTCATTGGTGAATTCCTCATTGCTGTTCCGAGGATTCATTGCACCCCTGGGAGACAGACCAAAGAGAGGCCATTCCCATATCTAAAGAGATTAAGCCGTAGGGAGAGTAAGATGCGACTGTAATGGGATTGCTATTTGAATAAGGTATCTTCCCCAAAACTAGACAGATACTGCTAAATGTGTACCCACATTTTGAAGCCATATCAACCTGATGCAACAAATGATATTGTCTCCGAAGTCCAAAGCAATTCCTCCTAGAATCATTTAAAAGTTTTTATTCACTCACTAGAGACCACTTCAGATGCATTAAAATACTACTGATGCTCTCATCATTTTGAATTTTGTTCTTAAAATGTTAAGATACTCTTGAATTATTGACCAGCTACTTTTGCAGATCAGTGAATATTAATTTTGAGGCTTAACTTAAAAAGAAAACTTTTTAGAATATCTTCAGAATACATTTTAGAAAACTGGCCTTGATGTGTCCGTATTGAGTTGCATTTCTGAAATAAATTGACAGCATATGAGGAAAAGCATATAGTGTTTGGGGAGACTGTTTTCATTTCAAGATGAAATCCCCTAAACAATTTTGTAAAGAAACATAAAGTGGTCTGAACTTCTTCATGTTACATCTATTAACTCAGATTATTCTTAAAATATAGGAGATGGAGGTTGTATTTATTATTCTTTTTTACAGATAAGAAGACTGAGGCATAGACAGGTAGCATCTCTAGTACAAGGCTACAGAGCCAGGATTTAAATCTGGCATCTCTGGCCTACCATTGCTCTAACTTATTGCATAACACCTTTCAATTTGTCCTTATAGTTATTACATGGGGGAATATGTCATCTATGTCTATATTCTGCTAAATGTTATGCTTAGGTTAAAATTGTCCAATATTTGTTCAAGTGTCCATATCTTTTTAATAAATTAAGATTCCATTAATACTTTGTATTTCTTTAGAACTGAAAAAAAACCTTTGAAGAAGTGACATTGTGGAAATTACTATTATTTTCTTTCTCTTGGGAAAAAAATGTACTCTATACTGGGTGTTTTTAAATTGAATCCTGTGAAGAGTTTATAAATACTAGAAGCAAGCATCCTATTATGTGTGTCAGAAAACAAAGGGTAGTACTTGCAAAAGTTGTCGGTAACCCCATTATCAAATCCTTGGTGTGTGAGACTAGCTAGGAAAACACACTACCAAGATTATATTACGATAAGTCCCAATTACTTTAGAGATGTGAAAAAAAATACCCGAGGTTAATTTCTCTCCATGTGGAGAGACAATTATCATTAACATCTTTTAGGTGATCCGCCAGGCACATTTCTAGAGAAATAAGGTGGTAAAGGACCCTCTAGTTCAATTATTTGTATTCACAAGTATTGCATTAGTATGTATGATATCAATATGGCATTCTACTCCAGTTGTTTCTTATTCTACTCCTGTGATAACAATGTCAAGGTTTTGCTTCAAGTCCAAGAACCATCTACATCATAATTACTTGTGAGCTTGTTAAAATCTATGTTCCTGGACACAACCCCAAATACTAGAATCTGACTCTCTACAGACTGGGGCTAAGAATTAGCCTCTTAAGAAGATTTTCAAGGGATTCCTCTTTTCAGGAAAGTCTAACAGAAGGTAACCTATGTAGTCCAGAGCATCCAACAGGCCCAGGGCTGGCCTCTGAGAATCACTGCCCTCAGACAGGCAAGGGCCATCTGTAATGGATTTGTGTGATTTCCCCTGACATTGGCTATCATTTTTAAATACAGTTGTATGGAGATTTTTCTAGGGAGAATATTTGTTCAATTATCTAGGCCAGTGATGACGAACCTATGACACGCGTGTCAGAGGTGACACGGGAACTCATTTTTTTGGTTGATTTTTCTTCGTTAAATGGCATTTAAATATATACAATAAATAGCAAAAATATAAGTCATTATTTTTACTATGGTTGCAAATATCAAAAAATTACTCTATGTGACACGGCACCAGAGTTAAGTTAGGGTTTTTCAAAATGCTGACACGCCAAGCTCAAAAGGTTCGCCATCACTGAGCTAGGCTTTCTGGTACACAAAAAGCTAAGGAGTTCTTGTTCCCATCTCTCTCATGCATTCCAGTCAAGAAAATTCTGATACCAGATGAATTCGTGTCTTCTGCTTTCTCCCCAAACAAATATTTCCAGTGTTTCTTCAAA